GTGCTCAAGCTCGCAGTGCATGTCACGCAGATCCACAGCAGGATGGCAAAAAGATGTAAATCACTTGCTATGGTACCGTCCCTTTCCGTACTTTGAGGGATGCCCGCATGACCTGTAGGGAAATGTTTAGGGCTGGCGACCATTCAAACATCAAGGAAGCTTGACCCAGAAACGAACCACAACGACGTTGTATTCTTGGCAAAAGTCTGGCAGCCCCCTCTCAAGAGTTGGTGGGCATTCTAAGAAGTCCATACAAAGCTGGGCGCAGTGGCTCAAGGCGCTGAGTCCAGACGTTGCCGAGCGAAGCGGAGGAGGATCACTTGGCCAGGAGTCAAGACCAGGTTGGGCAACATACGGAGACTCTGCTTTAAAAAAATTCTGTTAAATTAGCCAGATGTGATGGGACATAGCCTGTAGTTCGCAGCTACCCCAGAGGTTGAGGCCAGGAGGATGGCTTGAGCTTGGAAGTCAAGGTGCAGATGGATCCATGAAATCGGACCCCACAAGTCAGTGGCAGGCCGTGGATTTCAGAGCGTGGACTCTTCTCAAACAAAACAAACGAAAAACGAAAACAGAATTTCCTTATTTAGCCTCTAAATTTAAAGCCTTAATTTACAATTGTTATTCCACAGAACACTAGGCTCAGGAACAAGTGTGGAGTTTTTTTATTTTTGGTAAAGACCAAAATCAGAAAGTTTAATGACCAAATCAGTCGTTTTTACCATTTAAAAATTCTTACACTTCATAATTAACATCAATGAAATAATTTTTAAAATTCAAGCTAGCAAACTGCTTTGATGCTCTACACTTTATAAGATCAAAATTATCCTGCTCTCTGTTTAAATCCAATTTTCTACCTCCTTCTATTCTACAAGGCCCAAATAATAGTATCACTGAGTAATCCTGTCCTATAATCATACAGTTACGCTGTTCTGTGCATAATTAGGGGATATTAAACAGTGCTTTGAAGCCCAACGCGGTGGCTCATGCCTGTAATTTCAGCACTTTGGGAGCTGGAGGTGGGCGGATCACCTGGGGTCAGGAGTGACCAGCCAGGTCAACACCAGACCAGCCAGGTCAACAGGGTGAAACCCCATCTCTACTAAAAATACAAAAATTAGCCGGGCTTGCGCGTGGTGGCGGACGCTTGTAATTCCTGACGCTTGTAATTCCTGCTACTCAAGAGGCTGAAGCAGGAGAATTTCTTAAATGGGAGAATCTCTTAGGTGTTTTTCATCTCTTAGATGGAAAACAAATCTGGAGTTTTGGTGAAAAACACATTGATTCTGGCTGGAGGAGATAGTTATAATAATAGCTTAGTTATCTTTCTGTGAGTTTCACGTCCAGAACACTTCAAACATTTAAAAACCCTTGCTGGGTCAGGGATTTAGTCATCTTTGCAGCTCTCACGGACGGCACCCACCAAAGAGCTTTCCAAGTACTTCATTGCTCAATAAACGTTTGTTGGAGAAACCGGCGAATAAAGATGAAATAATAAAACGTGGACGGATTTCGGAAAGAGAAGGAACTCCCGAGCTCATGCTTTGCACGATCACCCTCACCAGCCCCAGGAGTTTTCGCGTAAATCGAAGCCCGGGAAGTGAGTCGTAGGCAGCGGCCCCCGGGGAAGGCGTTTCAGGCCGGCCCGGGTGGTGAGTGCTTTCCGCCGCCTCCCCCGCACTCTCTACTGTTCCTCTCAAACTTCTTCCCAGCCTTCCACGCCGCGGGGACGCCCAGGGACCGCCCATCCCCCGGGACCGCCCCTCTCCCCGCCCCCGCCCCCGCCCCCGCCAAACTGAGCAATCCCCAGAGAGGATGGAAATAGCGAAGCGGCCTAGGGCCTGCCCGCTCCCGCGCATGCTCCCTGATTTCACCAGGGTCACGCTGCAGCCCGCAGGAATGAAAATCCACTTCTCCGCATTTTGGAGGTGACCTGGAAGCGGTTCAAATGCTCTGGCTTCTCAGAAGAGGAGGGGACTGGGCGGTAACGGGGAGCCAAGGGGAGGCGACGGCTCGTAAAACCCGGAAAAGCTTTCCCGATCCACTCTGCGGGCCTCTGAGCGCCTCCAGACATGCGCAGTAGCCTCCCCCGCGGTGGCGGCAGTGGATGCCGTGGCGGCTGAGTGTCCAGAGCCGGACGTTCCCGCCGCTTCGGGCTGGCGGCTGGAGAGCGCCCGCATCATGTCGGCCCAGGGGGACTGCGAGTTCTTGGTGCAGCGAGCCCGGGAGTTGGTGCCGCAGGACTTGTGGGCAGCCAAGGCGTGGCTGATCACGGCCCGCAGCCTCTACCCCGCAGACTTTAACATCCAGGTGAGGTGCCGGCAGTGCATGCGGCCGCCCTGCGGGGAGGTGCGTGTTCCGGCTGCCCGGGCCCAGAGCTGCGCCTGCCTGGGGGCAGCCGCCTCCTGCCCGGCCCCCTCTTTTCTCCCCTCCCACTCCCATCTTCTCTCCCCTCCCATCCTACACCTTGCTCCTACACCTTTCACCCGCCTTGCTCCTACACCTTCCAGGAGCCCTCTCCCCAGCCCTTGAGAGACGGCCGACCCCGCTTGAGGTCGGGTGCGCTTGGGTCCCTGGGGCCCTGCTTGCCATCTGGCCTAGACAGCGCATGATCGCCACTAGCAAAAGGCCATTCGCTCGTTCATTCATCATAATGGCAGCCGTTTGTTCAGTGCCAGCGACTTTGGAAACATTATTCCACTTAATCCTGGGAGCCTGAGATTGCAAGTGAACCCCAGGGTCCCACTCTAAGCCGAATGACAAGGCTGCCATATATGTGGCGGTGTGTCACCAGGCGGAGCTTCACTCGCAGGGCCTCCCTTCCCGCGGGAGGGCCAATGAGAGATGCTGAATGAGCTGGGAGCCTTCCAGGCAGGGGTGAATGACCAGGGTACCTGATGTGTGTTGCAGTATGAGATGTACACCATCGAGCGGAATGCAGAGCGGACCGCCACCGCCGGGAGGCTGCTGTACGACATGTGAGTGGGACGCTTGTCATCACTTTTACTGCACTGCATCTCTCCATGAGGTTTTGTTTCTGTCTGCAGAAGTGGGAGTTGGGGGAAGATCTTCAAGTTCGTCTACATCTTCGATACGTAAAGCAAACCTAGTAAGGAGTCCAGGTCTGCCATAAATTGCTGACATGGCTTTTGCAGAAGAGTTTAATTGTTATTCTTATGTTTTATCCTTGTTAAAACTTCTGTTCCATAATTTATTCTAGAAAGAATATGTGCTCATTGCAAAAATTCAAACACTACTTCTTATAGAGATAAAAAAGTGAAAGTGCCTCCTAAACTCAACCAGAATTAAGTTTTGTAGGCAGTCTATCTATACATATATACATAATACATAAATAGGTTTTTGGGGGGAAGAGATGACAAAAGTGAGACCATACGACCCTTGCTCTGCAGCATGCTTCCTTTACTCACTGTAATGGATCCCTTCCCATATCAGTATGTGGAGATCCACTTCATTCCTTTTCATGCCTATGTAGTATTTCATAGCCACTCTTCTTGGTAGACATTTAAATAGATAGTTTTAAATTATTTGAAATTGTGTTCAGTGTGTCAACAATTTTGTAGTCATATTTTGGTGTTTTTCTGTGGAATAGATTCTAAGACATTTTCATAGTTAAAGGTTATGCGCATTTGAAAGTTTGATACACTATGAAATTACTCTCCAAAACGGGTGATCCCAATCTACATTACCACCAATGGGATATAAAGAATGTGTTTTCCCATGCCCTTCCCAACATTGGATATTATTAGTCTCCTTTTAGTTCCTACCACTGTGATAGGAGAAAATGGTATCTTGCTATTTTTTAAAAAAATATGTACTACTCGTACTAAGATTCAGTATTGTTTCAACTGTTTTCTTTGGCTGTGTGTATTCTGTGATTTGCCTTTGCCTATTTTTTCTTTCGAATAGTTTGTTTTATTCTTGTTGACACTTAGGTTTTCTTTCTATATTATGGTTACTTGTCTTTTCACCTATAAATCCCACTAAAGACTTATGTGAGTACTCTCATTTTTATAAATCAAATAATTCTTATTTTTACATTTTTATTTCGGTTTGTTTTGGCACGTCTAAGCATTCACTTGGAATAAAGGAAACTTTTTCACCAAATGCTAATGTTTTTTCTTTTGGATACTGTATAGACTTTGACATTTTAATTTAATGTATTTATTTTAAAAATAGGTTTGTGAATTTCCCAGACCAGCCGGTGGTGTGGAGAGAAATCAGCATTATTACATCAGCATTAAGGAATGATTCACAGGACAAACAAACCCAATTCTTAAGAAGTAAGAATAATGGTGTATAAGTTACCATTTCTGGAATACCAAATCATAGATAGTAATTTCACACACAAAAAAGTCACACCTGGGGTATTGATAACCATATGTATGTTTTATTCTTGGCAACCAAGGTCTATAATAATGTCACTCAGTTCCTTGATTTGCTTAGAACCCTTTAAGCTTCTTTAAAGGATATGGATTTGTCAGTGAGACAAGGAATTAATTGTATATATTTTTAACAGGTTTTACAGTAACCAGATAGCAGCTATAGATTAACCAGCTCTCCACAAAACAGGAGAGAAGCTTTTAGTAATTTAGAAGCTTTCTCTTTAAACTTCTCCATGTTGCTGTCGTCAATCAAAGATTTCAAATTCTACATAAAATAGCAAGTAGATGTTTAGGTCATTTCAGCTTCAAAAAGCATATGCTCTCTATCTCAGCCTGCAATAGGCATTCTTGTGACCATTCACATACGTCACTGTTTTTTGAATTTGATCAGTCTGCCAAATATTTTACCATTATTCAGCAAACATCCTGTGCCAGATACTATTGGCCCCAAAAGGCTGCCAGGTTGTAGGTGAAACTTAACCACATTGATTTCACATGTAGGGTTTACTGTTCTGTACATGAAAATGCCTTACTCAGCACTTTTGCTGCAGTCTTTGCTGTCCGCAAGAAACTTTTAAAAGTGAAATATGTTTCGTACAGGTTTATTTGAAACTCTGCCTGGTCGGGTCCAGTGTGAAATGTTACTAAAGGTCACGGAACAATGCTTCAACACGTTAGAACGATCAGAAATGTTGCTTCTACTTTTGAGGCGCTTCCCTGAAACGGTGGTGCAACATGGGGTGAGATTTTATTCTTCCCCTTCTCTTAATATAAAATACAATGGGTCATCAACAGATTCATCGGTATGGTGAGGAGCTACAAAGCGTAAGTTTCTGAAGAGCACTGGTGAAGATTGAACTGAAATAAAAGGTTCTTTGTTAGTAAAGCTAAACGGACATTCTTTTTACCAAATTTTATAAGTTTCCAGGAGAAGCTGTTTTATCAGAAAAGTTACCAAGCTCTGACAGTACTATTTATTTGCAATCCATATGGTAAAAAGTAATCTTTTTCCATTGTATTCTACAATGTGCTTTTGAATTTAGGGTACAGTTTATAGTCTTTTAACAGATGTGTTTTTCCTGTGCTTCTGCCCTATGGAGACTGTTTTCATTCTATTCCTGCCCCTTCCCTTCATCTGTAATAATTATTGAGTGCTATTGGCAGGCATGGGTAAGTGCTAGGTATCTCTTATCTTCCTAAACCCCCTGAAGTAAATAGTATCCCACTTTACAGATGACGAAACTGAGCATTTCATGTTTTAGTAACTTCCCGTAGCCAGTGAGGTGTCAGGATTCAAACCGTTCATTCGATTGGTTCATACTCTGTGGCTTATTCTTTCCCATGCCATTTTTCTGGCATCTGGCCCTGGTTAATCATTTCCATACCTGCTTGTGTTAGTCTCCTAGAGTTGCCATAACAAAGTACCACAAACTGGGTAGCTTAAAACAACAGAAAGACTCTCACAATTCTGGAAGCTAGAAGTGTAAAAGCCAGGTGTTGGCAGAGCCATGTTCCCTCTGAAGGCTCTGGGGAAGAATCTTTCTTTACCTTTCCCTGGCTTCTGATGGTTGTCAGTACTCTTTGGCATTCCCTGGCTGGCAGCTGCATCACTCCTCCAATTTCTCCTCCATCATCACATGATCTTTCTTTTGTGCCTGTGTCTTTACATGGTCTTTTTTTGTTTTTTGTTTGTTTGTTTGTTTGTTTTTGAGGCAGAGTCTTGCTCTGTTGCCCAGGCAGCAGTGCAGTGGCATGGTCTTGGCTCACTGCAGCCTCTGCCTCCTGGGTTCAAGCAATTCTCATGCCTCAGCCTCCTGAGTAGCTGGGATTACAGGTGTGTGTACATGGTCATGTTATAAGGACGCTAGTCATTGGATTGAGCGCCTTTCTAATCCACTATGACCTCATCTTAATTAATTATATCTACAAGGGCACTGTTTTTTTTTTTTTTTTCTGTCGCCCAGGCTGGAGTGCAGTGGCCGGATCTCAGCTCACTGCAAGCTCCACTTCCCGGGTTTACGCCATTCTTCTGCCTCAGCCTCCAGAGTAGCTGGGACTATAGGCACTCGCCACCACGCCCGGCTAGTTTTTATTTTGTATTTTTTTAGTAGAGCCGGGGCTTTACTGTGTTAGCCAGGATGGTCTTGATCTCCTGACCTCGTGATCCACCCATCTCGGCCTCCCAAAGTGCTGGGATTACAGGCTTGAGCCACCGCGCCCAGTCAAGGGCACTTTTTTTAAAAAAAGTTAAGATATATATGAGGTCACATTCTGAGTTTCTGGGGGGATATGAATTTGGGAGACACTGTTCAGCCCAGCACACTTTCTGGTCATAACTGTGACCTTTAACCTTCTGTGTGATGTTACTTTTTGCACTTTTCCACTCCTATGAGGCATCCCTATGTGGTCACAAGGAAGCTGATACCAATGTCTTAGTGGATTTGGGTAAGGGACTATCTACTATGCTAGGGCATCAGCAATGGAAAGGTAGCCTTAAAACTCTGACCTTTCTGCCCAGTCTACGCCAGACTGTATGACTGGCTACTCCTGAGAACTTATCTTGAACATGATACGTTTTGTCTATATTGATACATCTTCATGTAGAGAATAAACTCTAGTTTCTTTATTTCTTAGAAAATCTCTGCCTCCGGTTCCATTGCTTCCTTTACATTTCTATAGACATTTTGTTAATTCTTGTTAATCGTTAATTAGAATTTTGCTAATTCTGAAGAGAATAACCAAGACAGAGTGGTCAGATGTTCAGGTGAATTTGGCCTTCTAGGGTGTGTGGCTGGTGCATTCTTTTACTTTCTAGTCTTTAAAACGTGATTATTTGTTTCTCAGATAAGTTTGATTACACAAACTGTGATAAGTAAAAAAAATTTTAAAACCATTACTTCATATAGTTCTGAAAACTTACGCTGTAACACATTTAAATGATTAATTTTGTTTTGAAATAGGTTGGCCTTGGGGAGGCACTGTTAGAGGCTGAAACTATTGAAGAACAAGAATCTCCTGTGAACTGCTTTAGAAAATTATTTGGTAAGGAAAATTGTATTCTCTATTACTTCTATGGTAAATTAATATGCTGGGGTAAGTGTTGGTTCAGGGATAAGCTCATATATGGAAGGCAAAGGAGCTCTATGTGTTATGGCATTTAGTTCTTTTTTTTTTATTTAGAAAGCATTTTAGCTAGGCATGGTGGCTCATGCCTGTAATCCTAGCACTTAGGGAGGCTGAGGTGAGTGGATCACGAAGTCAAGAGATCGAGACCATCCTGGCCACAGTGGTGAAGACCCCGGTCTCTACTAAAACTAACAAAATTAGCGGTGGGCGTGGTGTTGCCAGGTGCCCTGTAGTCCCCAGCTACGTAAGCAGGCTGAGGCAGCGAGAATTGCTTGAACCCGGGAGGCGATGGTTGCAGTAAAGCCGAGATCATGCCACTGCACTCAGCTCTGGGACCAGAGCAAGACTCTGTCTGCAAAAAAAAAAAAAAGCATTTAAACAAGCTTCTGAAACTGTTGCCGTATGTAAGGATCTTGATACTCTGAAAAGAAATGATAAATATATCCAGTGGTAAGTATGAAATGGCATAATAGTATGAGAAGCATCGCTGAATTCAAGAATGGAAGAAACTAGCACCCGTATCACCCACACAGCCGCTGAACAACACAACTTGCCCGTGAGGATTCGTCTCCTGACTCCAGCTAGCTGGTGGTCTCCTGCACAGCACATTTTGTACCTGTCATCACGGGATCTTCGCCCTTAATAAGTTCAATAATACTCAAATGAACTTAAAACTTTTGCGCTCACGGGGAGGTCCGATAACTAATTTTAATTTCTTTCTTTTCTACTCCAACAGTTGCTGGACTCCTCGCTCTAATAATACACCATGGTATACGGAGGTCTGCGCTTCATGTGTTTAATTAGCGAGTACTGTGGAACAGCAGCACTGAATTGTAGTAGCGAAGTAATGTCACTGGAGGGTCTATCTGACAAACAGAAAATCAATTGCATTCAAGGTAAGGAGAATAGTCCTGTACTGTTTATTTAAATAGGGCCTGTTAGTAAATTGCAATTCAGAACGCCCATCAATTTCAGATTACTTCGCCTCTGGATACTTTACTATTGGGAGTGCTTCAAAAGATGGGTATGCGTAGAAAAAAGATACTAGAGTTACACAAGGTGAGCTTTTTCTGAAGAGCAATGCCATCCACCTTTGATCCAAACAGTCTTCTGGCTTGAGCTGTTAAACATTATTTGCATGGACGGAATCCTCATACGCATGTACCATGAATCGAAGTAGTTGGCAATACTTCTTGGCTATACCGGTGCCCTGTGGTTCGGTCCCTTGAAAGCAAAAACAGTAAATGTTCTTTGGAATTCTGGCTCTGTGGGCGTTTCATGGGGAGATAGTAACTTTCTTCATGCAAGCTACCAACTGTTCAACAGTAAAGTCATAAACTGTAACTTAGGTTCCCTTTTTTTTCCTTCCATCATTCAGGTTGCACGCAGGATAACAATCTTGAATTTTAAGTGCACAGCCTAGCAAACTACCTCGAAAGTAATAATTAGAAGGGCTGAAGACAAAAATCATCACCCAGATTCGGTGGACCGCTTGGGAGAAGGTTGTTTTAAGATTTTTAAATGTTGTTTTTTGGAATGAGCAAGTGTGAAAAAATGGCAGAATGGATGAAACGGGAAGCACGTAAATGAAGTAGGGCTTATCCACGAATGCCTATTGATCTTTTTTTGGATCCTTATAAAAAACGAAAACAATGCGTTTTAAAACTGTAAAATATGGCCTTAGGACAGTTTTTTTTTGGGCAAAATTTTGTGAAGACACTCAATACTTTTACCTGCAAAGTATAGCGGATGGGTTTTGCAATTTATTCAAAGATTTTGTCTGGCGGGCACAGTGCTCTCACACCTGTAAGCCCAGGTGCTGTGTGGAGCTGAGTTTCGGCAGATCACTTTTGAAAGTCAGGAATAAGTTTCTTGAAGACCGAGCCTGGCCAACATGAATGAAACCCTAATGTCTGACTAAAGAAAATACAATCAATTAAGCCAGGCGCTATTGGTGGTTTGCGTGCCTGTTAAGTCCGGCATGCACTTGGGAAAGGCTTCTGAGTGAGAGAGAATCCAAACTGCGTCGGAGGCGAACAGGGCTACGATAGGCAGAAATCACACCGACGCACTCAGCCCTGGGGCGACAGAAGTGAGAACAGCTGTCCCAAAAAGAAAAAAACAAAAAAAAAACAAGATTCTTACTGAAATATGCTGTAACTCTTAAGAACGAATGTGGTGTTTTTTTGAACGTTCCTTGCTACTTCAGAGAAAAGCTACTTAGCATGTTTGTGTCATGAAATCTTGATCACCACCCTAATTCAGAAGGGAAAAGTTACCATTTATCTTGGACAATAAAGAATAGTTTTACATGCCTAGAGCAACATTTGGTACATGTAATGGCACCACCAGAGCTTTCCTTTAGACTTTTTGCTGACCAGCCCAGAGTAATCGAGTAAGTTTCATCACTCCTTCTTTTTTAGAAGCTATGGAGATATTTTGCATAGAATGAAGGATCTCTGCAGATACATGAACAACTTTGATAGTGAAGCACATGCGAAATATAAAAACCAAGTGGTGTATTCTACCATGCTGGTCTTCTTTAAGAATGCGTTCCAATATGTCAACAGCATACAGCCGTCTCTCTTCCAAGGTTGGTTTGCAAATTTTACAGTGTCCAAAAAGCCGGTTCATACTGTGGGGATGGTAAGGAAGATGAAAGTGCTTATCCACTATTGCTGGATCCGAATAACTGTGGGGCGGTACCAGTCCTTTTTATAGTTGGTGATTTGGTTTTGTTTAGTTTGGCTTAATTGGTAGTTTTTATGTAAGTATGTTTCATTAAAAGTTTCTATATCAAAGGGCATAATGGTACTGCACAACTAAATACAGATATCAAATGCCACTATTTTGAAAATAACGGCAGGCTGGGCACGGTGGCTCACGCCTGTAATCCCAGCACTTTGGGAGGTGAGGCCAGTGGATCACTTGAGGTCAGGAGTTTGAGACCAGCCTGGCCAATATGGTGAAACCCCATCTCTACTAAAAATACAAATATTAGCCGGGCATGATTGAGAGCACCTGTAATCCCAGCTACTTGGGAGGCTGAGGCAGGAGAATCGCCTGAACCCAGTAGGCAGAGGCTGCAGTGAGCTGAGGTTGCACCTTGCACTCCAGCCTGGACGACAGAGCAAGACTCCATCTAAAAAAAAAAAAAAAAAGAAAAAACCAGTAGATGTAACAACATATTTAAGTAGATTTCATGAAGACATCACAATAGGCAAAGATTTATTCAGTAAAATATCCATTTTATATATAGAGTGTATGCATAAATATACTGTAGAAAATTTGAAAACTGGAAATAAGAGTGAAATCACCCACAATCCTTCCAGTATAATACAGCATTTGTTTTTATGTATTGCCTTATAATATCACATATATTTAGATTTTGTTTGGAATTTGTAACTATAATGTAAGTATAATTTGGTAGTCTTTTTATGGTACTTTAATGACTCATGATCATTATAAAAAATTTGCAGATACATAACAAATACAAAGAAGGAACTGTCACTTGTATTCCACTACTGACAGGAAGTCTTTAACAATTTGGTATATATCTTTACAGTCTTTTTTTTCTGTGCATCTACTTGTTTGTTTACCTAATTGAGATCACACTGAACATATTTTTAATGACTTTTGTCAAGACAGTTGAGTAAGCTTCTCCCTTGTTTTAAGTATCCTTTTCCTAGCTGCATTTTTAAATTATTTATTTATTTATTTTTTAAGTCTTCCTGTGTTGCCCAGGTTGGAGTGCAGCGGTGTGATCTCGGCTCACTGCAACCTCCGCCTCCCGAGTTCAAGCAATTCTCCTGCCTCAGCCTCCCGCGTAGCTGCAACTACAGGCGCTGCCACCATGCCTGGCTAATGTTTTGTATTTTTAGTAGAGACAGGGTTTCGCCATATTGCCCAGGCTGGTTTCAAACTCCCGAGCTCAAGCAATCCACCCACCTCAGGCTCCCAAAGTGCTGGGATTATAGGCATGAGCCACTGCGCCCGGCCTCCTTGCTGCATTTGTAAGTGTTGGTGTTTTTCCCCATGCTTAGGTCCTAATGCCCCGAGCCAAGTTCCACTGGTTCTTCTCGAAGATGTATCGAACGTGTATGGTGATGTAGAAATTGACCGTAATAAACACATCCATAAAAAGAGGAAACTAGCTGAAGGAAGAGAAAAAACCATGGTAAGGCTTTCAAATATACTTATTAACAGATTGGATAGCACGGTTTGCTAGAGATGAATCTCTGTAAAATGTGGCTTTGGAGCTAAATCGATAAAGCTTGCGTTTGAAAATTGTATGATATATTAATAATTACTAAGTCAGTGGTTCTTCACTGGAGGTGATTTGCCCTTTAGGGGACATTTGGCAATGTCTGGAGACATTTTTGGTTGTCACAGCTTGGTGGGGAGGGGCCAGGGATGCTGCTGAGTACTTCACAGTGTACTGACCAAAAGGTCAGTGATGAGGTGGAGAACCCATGGTATACGTTCCTTACACATGTTTTGACTGAATGGCATTGATTCCGTTTAAAAAACAAAACCAACATGGCATCGGGCCTCTAGAGCAGGGTGCAGCGTGGGGTACCGGCTTCAGAATGGAAAGCTCTGGGGTGTGCAGGGCAGCAGGAACAGCCTGTGGGCAGATGCAGACAAGATTTCATGAAGGAGGTCAACACTGAAATCAGTGCTGAAAGATGAAGGGTTTTGTCCGTTGGAATTGGGAGGTAGATTTTGTTGACAGGGAAAAGTTTGCACAAAGATGCAAGAAGCCCGAGAACGTGAAGAGTCGTCAGTCCTAACCTGACCAAGCAGTGCCCCAAGCCCGTCGAGGCTGTGCTCTGTGGTTACAGTGCTTTTCCCTCGGATCTCTGCGCTGCTAGGTCCTTGTCACTTGGTCCCAGCCCAAACGAATCTCCCTCTGAGGCTTCTCCTGAACACCCATCTGAAGTAGCTGTCCGGGTCTCTCTTTTTATTCCTCTGTTTTAATTCTCTGTGGCATCCTCCTTGCTATCTGTGTTTTCTTGTTTATTCACTGACTGGTTTACTTCTTCACTAGAGGACAAGCTCCGTGGGGCCTAGCATTTTCTCTACCTCATCCTGTACCATACCCCAGGCATCTGAGTAGTGCCTGGGCTGGAGCAGGTGTGTGGCGACCATCTGGTGAAGGAGGGACTTCCCATTGATCCCTCCTGTGTTTGGCATGCAGGCTATGGGATGGCTGTTTAAACCTGGCCCAGCTGTTCTTCCTTCCGGTTTTTTTTTGGCCTGTCAAGCACTCATCTAGCGAGCCCTGTTCTCATAACCCGGCCTTCCACCCAGTATGGGATTTCCATCCATTTTTGTTTTCATGGTCTTAACTGATTTCATCCTGATTTTCATTCTATCCCTGAGTCTGCCCCAACCTGATGCAGGTCCAGACCTTAAAGGCCCATGAGCTCAGCTCAGAGATATCTTGCTTTGCTCACAGTGTTTTGTTTGTTTAAATAACCTAGCATTTAAAAATTAGAAACAAGGCTGGGTGCAGTGGCTCACGCCTGTAATCCCAGCACTTTGGGGGGCCAAGGTAGGAGGATCACCAGCCCAGGAGTTTAAGACCCACCTGGGCAATATAGTGAGACCCCATCTCTATAAAAAATGAAAAAAAAAACTAGCTGGCTGGTGGTATGCCCCTGTCATCCCAACTGCTTCAGAGGCTGAGATGAGAAGACCCCTTGAGCTCAGGAGTTCAAGGTTCCAGTGAGTGATGACCACACCATGGCCCTCCAGCCCGAGCAACAGAGGGAGACCCTGTCTATAAAAATAAAATAAAATAAAAAATAGAAACCTAGCATTTCTCATAACCATCCAGATTTCTGACTGACTTCCTTTTTGTAATTAGGTTATCTGATCACACTGGCTCCCGGTGGTAACCCACAACTGGAGTTGAGGGGTGGCCCACATCAGTTCTCCAGCCAGCTTAACATCACAGGCACGTGTGACGTCACAAGTGGCTGGTGCTGGGACGGGCCTCTCCTGTGGGCATCTGTCCCCCACTTGGTGCATTCTTGCTTCCGAGCACACCCTCAGTGCTTCAGAGTGTACTTGCACATTTCAAAATCAGTTTCTCTAAATTTAAAAACATTTGGAACTCACTAGTCCCACCCCATCTGGGGTCCTTTCATAAATTCCTGATCTTATGTTGAGGCAGGAATGTTTTCCGTAAGCTGCAGCGCTAGTGCCATGCACGTTCGTGTATATGAGGTTGCCATTACTTGGCAAAGAACAGGCCTCTGACGAAATAGTACCTGGCAGATAGGGTTGTGGGGTTTTTCTTTGTAGAGACAAGGTCTCTCTATGTTGCCCACATTGGTCTTGAATTCCTGGGCTCGTGCAATCCTCCCACCTTGGCCTCCAAAACAGACGGGATTGCAGGGGTGAACCACACACCTGGCCTGGTAGATAGGTTTTGATTGGAAAGGGTGTGTTTTTCCTAATGCAAAAACATTACTTAGGCAGGATGACAACATGGAGCGGAACGGTGGGGTAGGGTAAGGCTGCCAAGCACAGGGACGAGCAGGAAGATACCAAGCTCTGAAAGTGGAGAGAAAGGTGGGCAGCGGAGGGAGGGGCTGACAGCTTCCTGCCCGTCTTACCTGAGATGAGCTTGAGGATTGAAGCTTTTAGTGACAATAGTTGAGCGTATTTTTAAACGATCTTAGTGGAGTAGAGATCTGCAGGAAAAATTTAATTTGGGTCATTTAATCAGTAAAATGACCTAGGTGGACTAAAAGATTCAGAAAATTCTTAGCAAAATAAAATTCAGTGGAGCTGTTTTACCTTTACATTTTTTTTTTTTTTTTTGGCAAAGCATCTGACTCTACCCAGCGGTATTTCCAATAATTGCCTTGCTCTGTAGCCCTCTCTTTTCTGAGGGCTTTATATTACTTGAGATGAAAAGCAAGAAAAGTAGAACTCTGTATTGTAAAATACAGAGGGCATTATTAGGTAAGTGCAGACAAATGTACTTTCTGACCAGGACCTTGCACTGGGGGAAGAGAGCGAGAGAGGGGTGACCAGTGCAGGGGAGTCATGCGCAGTGAACCAAAGATAACTAACAGTTATTCTCTGACAGTATTTCTTAGAAGACGCAGGCTTTAATTTCGTTGTTGTTGAGACGGAGTTTTGCTCCGTTGCCCAGGCTGGAGTACAGTGGTGCGATCTCTGTTCACTGCAGCCTCTGCCTCCTGGGCTCAAGCGATTCTTGTGCCTCAGCCTCCTAAGTAGCTGGCATTACAGGTGCGTGCCACCATGCCTGGCTGACTTTGTATTTTTAGCAGAGACTGGGTTTCGCCATGTCGGCCAGGCTGGTCTCGAACTCCTGGCCTCAAGTGATCCATCCTCCTTGGCCTCCCGCGGTGCTGGGGTTATAGGCGTGAGCCTCCACGCCTGGCCCCGAGCTTTAATTTTATCCCAGTACATACCAAACCATTATTTGGAAGTCAATTAAATCATGTCACGTATTAGAAAAAAAGAGTAAACTATAAACAGGTCCTTTTTAAGCTATGTCTCTCAAGGTAAAAATCTAAATTTTTGACTTTCATAAAACTGATAATTTTAAACTTTGCTCCAAAACCACCACAAGCAAACATAAGAAGTTAGCATCAGAAAAAAAATTCACTCAATTTTAAAAGTAAAAATAGAATGTGTGAGAGTATAAAGACAAAAAAAAATTAATTTTCAAAGCTAAATTGTTAAATTCAAAAAAATTGTATGTATGTGGTATCCTTTGATATAAAATTCATATCATGGGCAAAACTGGCAGCAATAATATGGTTCCATATATGACTATATTTATAACTGAATTAACCACGTTCTCCACATTCTTTAAGCAGAGTTCAGACGATGAAGACTGTTCGGCGAAAGGAAGAAATCGTCACATTGTAGTCAATAAAGCTGAACTTGCTAACTCCATTGAAGTGTTAGAAAGCTTTAAATTGGCCAGGGAGAGCTGGGAGTTGCTCTATTCCCTAGAATTCCTTGACAAAGGTAAGAAAGCACATGTCATTGGTGCTGTTTAATGTTTTATATAAAATCATTATGCTACTTGAAATGTCAGGTCACTCATGGCAAATTAAGTTGATTACAGTAGTTCATGCATTTTTTTTTTTTTTTCTTGTTTTGAGATGGAGTCTCACTCTTTTTCACCCAGGCCGGAGTACAATGGCGTGATCTTGGCTCACCTCAACCTGCACCTCCTGGGTTCAAACAATTCTCCTGCCTCAGCCTCCCTAGTAGCTGGGATTACAGGCGCGTGCCACCATGCCTGGCTAATTTTTTGTATTTTTAGTAGAGACGGGGTTTCTCTATGTTGATCAGACTGTTCTTAAACTCCTGACCACGTAATCTGCCTGCCTCAGCCTCCCAAACTGCTGAGATTACAGGCATGAGCCACCATGCCTGGCCGTATTGCTGTTTTTATCTGCATTAACTCCATTGTCTTGAAAAACTCAAAATCCAAAAACTATAGGAAGCCTATTTTCCTTTGAGTATGCTGGGTATTTTGACATTGCTTAGAAATCACTAACTGTTTGCTAACTAAGGTATTCTTACTACACTCTGGAATCGGGGCCCCTTATTTTACTTTTAGCCCGTGGACATTCATCCCCTGGCTGCAGTCATGTGTCATACAGAGCCCTTGGCCAGATGTGCTGTGTCATCTTTTCTAAGTAAACTTAGCACTGTTCAGTTTCTCTTTGTTACATGTGGGATTGTGAACACATATGTGACAATTCTAGAGGGGATCTTTCCTTTAGTTAGAAATTGATTTTTTAAAAAATGAATAAAACCTTTTAGTGTCATTGTATGTTTGTTATTTTAATTAGGTCAAAATAAAATGGGCCAGGCAAGATGGCTCATGCCTGTAATCCCAGCGCTTTGGGAAGCTGAGGCAGGTGGATCATTGAGCTCAGGAGTCAGAGACCAACCTGGGCAATATGGCAAAAACCCGTCTCTATAAAAAAACAAAAACAAAAATTGGCCAAGTATGGTGGCATGTGCCTGTAGTCCCAGCTATTCAGGAGGCTGAGGTAGGAGGACTGCTTGAGCCCGGAAGGTCGAGGCTGCAGTGACCCATGTTAGGGCCACTGTACTATCAGCCTGGGCGACAGGGAGAATGTCTCTAAAAATAAGATCAAATAAAAATAAAATGGGACCTTGTTTTGGGGAAAGCAAAGTAGTTTAAAAGATAAATGAGAAAATACATGAAAAGCACGTTAAATAGTTCTTGGTACCTGGTATGTGCTCAGTAAGTTGTTAGCGTCTGCAAAATATTGCTTGTGTATTACTGATAAGTGTTGTGTGTTTCTTCTCTACTTGAAATTCTAGAGCAGTATTTTAGAAATCAAAGTCAAACTTGCTATGCATTTTTGGTAGTTTGTCTCTGTTCTCTTACTGGATTTGTTTGTTTTCTGCGTCTGCGCTACATATATTTGGTAAATTTGTTCTTGACTTCTCACTCAGAATTTACAAGGATTTGCTTGGCCTGGAAGACGGATACTTGGCTTTGGTTAAGAATCTTCCTCACCGATATGATCATCTATCAGGTAGCGTATTACACATATTTTAGGTACCTGTGTCTGTACAGGATGGCTATGGTGGCAAACCAGCTTTCCCTTGCAGAATGCGTCATGTTCCCTCTTGGGCTAGTCTACTGCCTGCTGACACCTGTTCTATCTTCAGTGGCTGAGGGGGTATGGTCCATTTTCCTTTCAAAATAACTCTGGGCCGGGTGCCGTGGCTCACGCCTGCAATCCCAGCACTTTGGGAGGTCGAGGTGGGAGGATTGCTTGAGCCCAGGAGTTCAAGACCAGTCCTGGCAGCATAGTGAGACCCTGTCTCTACAAAATAAAAAACTTAGCCAAGTGTGCTGGCATGTGCCTATAGTTCCAGCTACTCAGGAGGCTGAGGCGGGAGGATCACTTGAGCCCAGGAAGTCAAGACTGCATTGAGCCATGATAGCATCACTGCACTCTGGCCTGGGTGACAGTGAGACCTTATATCAAAAACAAAACGAAACAAACACTTCAAAATGACAAGCCTGTACCTTCTGTGTTACTTTTGGTATATCCAATCACACCTCTCTGTTACTTTTCGGTAAAAGAGGATTACTTCTCACCCTCCTTCTCTCTCTGCTGGTGGAGTCTGCCTGGCTGTACTGTTCTCCAGCATCTTAGACCTAGAACCGAGAGAGTCGATAATTCACGAATGAGGTGTTGTTGGAATGGGCAGGTTGCTGCTTCCATCCTTCATAAAGGAGAAGTGGTGCTTGTAGTAAAATATTTCTAAAGAAATGTTATATCCAGAATGTGCTGGGTCAAAGGGCTTGGTTATTTTCTTTAGTCTTAAGACCTACAGCCACCCCGCCACAAAGAAAAATCTCCACCTCTTATAAAGTACCGCGCATAAAGAACTCTCACCTGGCTTTAATTAGTGATTTGGTTCTATTGTCCAAGTCTCCATTTCTTCCTCAGATGAGGAACCAAGCTACCACTTGTAAGTCTGCTATGCTTCCGTGCTTCATGAAACGCTGTTAAGGGGCAGTTTTTTAATTCATTTTTTTTGATGGCGATGTTTATCCCTCCTTTCATTCCAGTTTTCTTAGGGTGCAAATATAAAAAGGCCGATAGCCAGCCCCTGCATCACTTAGCAGCTCTGCCAGGGACTCCAGTTTCCAGCCCACGATCACAAGGGCAGGGGACCCTGGGAGCATCAAGGACCTATCCAGGCTGGCGCGCGTGCCACTTTGCGCTAGGGGGTATACAGGTGAGACTGCAACACATGCGGGCCCCGCAAGGTACACGCGGCCACCCCGGGCTCTTTCCTCTTCCCCAGCTGGCTTTCATTCAGTGCACGTTTGGTTTCAATTTGATCATTCTGCCGTAGAACTTATTACTTATCTGCTGTGAATACTCCAAGTGATTTTGTTTACTTAATTTTCTCCTTTACTACGCTCCCTGAATAGGCATCGATAGTTTTAGTTTCTTGTTCATTGTCCATTTGTTGGAGGATTTTCTTCCTTTTTTATATGATACACTCTGCCTGTTCCATTGCTAGCTTGGAAAAACAAGGCCATATTTTAAGTGGGAATGGGGAAGATTTATATTTAGCTCCACTAATCTCAGAATTTGTCTTTAATGGTAATAACATGCCAGGCGCGGCTGGCTCACGGCCTATACTCCCCAGGGACTTGGAGTGAGGCTTGGCAGATCAACCTGAGGTCCAGGGGTCGAGCGCAGCCTGGCCCACGTGGTGACCCCCGCATCCTCTATTAAATAGCAAAATATGGGTAGTGCGGCACCTGTAATGCCATCTTATGGGAGGCTGAGGCAGGAGAATCACTAAACCTGGGGAAGAGGTTGCAGTGAGCCAAGATTGCACCCATGCACCTCCAGCCTGCGAACAGAGCGACGATTTCTCAAAAAAAAAAATAAATAAAAATAATGGTGATCACACACACCCTGATAGGCGTGGTTGCAAGGAGCAGATTTATAAATGAGTGGTGTCCTCTGCAAGGAGGTTTTGAGCCCTTCCTACTACAGGGTGGTGACTGTGTTTTTATCTTTGGACTCTCATGACACCTACCACAGTACAATAAGTGTTTGAATTCAATTAAAATGATAACCATGTTGTTGTGTATTCAAGGACTGTATAAACTCAAGGCCACAGCATAACACAACAAACTGATTTCTTCTCACCTCTCTAGATGTTGTTGATCACTTTGTGATTATAAACCCTAAATTTTTTGTAACTTGAACTCTGAAATATGATTATTAATTTGTCCTGATGATCTTTAGAAAGGAACAGTTGGAGGATGTGTAGAGCATTCAAAATTGGAAATGCTTTTCCACCATTATTTATATAATTATCCATCAGTTACTTAACTCTAAGTTTTAATTCCTTTTAAGAACTTAAAAGGCAGCACGTATTTACACCGACACACGTATCTCACGTAAAATTAGCTATACCGTGTACTACTTCATTGTAGTAGGGAATATAAACTACTAAACAAGACAGACTCGTCTAGATTAAACAAGACAGACTCATTCCCTTTGAGGGCTTAGTTCCAGCCTCTGAGTTTATCACTATTAGACCTATGGGTAATGTCGGACTTCCTGCCTTCCTGTCTTTAGCCCAGACTCAATATGTCCAGATGTAAGTGTCCTTAGTTCTCTGGCTGTCTTAGTCTGCTTGGGTTGCTATAACCAAATACCAAAAAGTGGGAGGCTTGTAAACAAAAGGAGTTTATTTCTCATAGTTCTGGAGGCTGGGAAGTGCAAGGTCAAGGCGTCAGCAGATTCAGTGTCTGGTGAGGTCCCATTTCCTAGTTCATAGAAGGGACAAGAGCGCACTCGAGAGTCTCTCTGATAAGGGCACAAATCCCATTCATGAGGGTTTTGCTCTCATCATCCACTCACCTCCCAAAGGCTCTCCCTCCTGACGCCCTCACATTGGGGGTTAGGTTTCAACTTACAAATTTCGGTGGGAACATAGACATTCAGACCATAGTACTGGCCCTTAGACACAAAACTTTCAAGTCTTCGTGGACTCCTACTCTAGCAAATCCTTTTGATTCTTCCAGTGTGATAATAATCTCTTTGCTGTATTACCTTGTATTTCTATTGTCACCACCCAAATCCATGCCTTTTAACTAAGTTTTTGGCCTATAACCCTTTTTCCAACCCTATAAAATTATGGTCACTGCTTTCTAAAATACTGCTTTCATCATTCCACTTAATTGAAGTGTTGGCTTTCTTGGTGCTCAGTGTTGAACCCTGCTGTTGGCTGGGGAGTAGAAGCAGGGTGTGGGCAATATGGGATCCCTGCATTCAGGGCCATATGGTTTGAGTTAGGGAAAAAAGTGTATTTGTATAAGACAATGAAAAAAATCAAATATTAGTTGGTAGTCCTCAGTCATAGACACAATAGACATTCGGGGAAGGGCATTTTCTTTGTTGGGTCCAAAGAGTCAAGGAAAGATTTATAGAAAAGATTGGCTGGAGATGGGCATCGAAGAATGGCAGCTCATAGCTCTGGAGTATAAGTCCTGGCCAGCTCTGTGACATTGGCAGGTTACCTTACCCGGGCCTATCCAACTCTAGAGTTCAACTTTTCAACTACCAGGCTGCCCATCTCTCTAAACTAGAGCTTCACAACCCTGTGGGCCTAGGTGGGTTCTAGAGGTGCCAATATATGGATCCTGCAGCCTTTGGGGCAGTCAGCCATGACCTAGGGCTGCTGGGGCCACCCAAAGTCAATTGCTACCAACCCTGAGCAGCCACACACAAATTACTTTCAGGGTATGCCACAACATGAAAAGGGTTGGGAAGCTTGGGTTTAAATCCCCACTTCTGAGAGTTCAACAGTGAGAACACTTGGACACAGGGAGGGGAACATCACACACTAGGGCCTGTCAGGGGGTCGGGGGCAAGGAGAGGGAGAGCGTTAGGACAAATACCTAATGCATGCAGGACTTAAAACCTAGATGATGGGTTGATGGGTGCAGCAAACCACCAAGACACATATTTTTATTTATTTATTTTTTTTTGAGACAGAGTCTCGCTCTGTTGCCCAGGCTGGAGTGCAGTGGCCGGATCTCAGCTCACTGCAAGCTCCGTCTCCCGGGTTTACGCCATTCTCCTGCCTCAGCCTCCCGAGTAGCTGGGACTACAGGCGCCCGCCACCGCGCCCAGCCAGTTTTTTGTATTTTTTAGTAGAGACGGGGTTTCACCATGTTAGTCAGGGTGGTCTCAATCTCCTGACCTCGGGATCCGCCCGTCTCTGCCTCCCAAAGTGCTGGGATTATAGGCTTGAGCCACCGTGCCCGGCCCACCAAGACACATATATACGTAACAAATCTACATGTCCTGGCACATGTATCCCAGAACTTAAAATTAAAAAAAAAAATTACCCAGAGACCCAGAGATGTCTCTGGCCTTTTGCATAAAACAAAACAAAACGAAAAAAGCTCCACTTCCTCCTCTGGAAAATAGAGAATAAAAGGGTTTGCTTGACACAGATAAAAGACTCACTGCATGGAATCTGATTGTTGTTAGGAGAATTTGAGTAGATAGAGGGGGAACGGTGATGCAGACTGTCTGGATCAAGGCCAGCCTGCACAGAGGCACTCGAGGCTCGTCTCCACTAGGACCGCATCCGTCCAGTGTCTCACCTCTGTCCTAGACCAAACCTCTGGCCCTCAAGTAAATCACCTGAACCCACACATAGCCCTTCCCCGTGTCTTTCTCTCCTGCTTGAAAGGCCTCCTTTCTGCATTCCAAATCCTCTATTTAAGGCTTAGGTCAAGATAACCTTCCTGCCTGAAGCTTTTCCTGCTAGTTTCTCCTGTGTGTATTTTCTCCTGCATTTTAACTTATGCTGTCTATCATACCCCTTAGACCTCTGCTACATGTTTTCTGGGTTAGTTTTTCTGTGCAGTGAGTTAGTATCTTTCAGGCAGGGACATGTTTCTTTTGGCTGCTGTAATGCTGTTGAACACCTCAGTACTTAATGCTTGGTTAATTTTTAAGTTTTGTTTTTTAATAGCAAAGAATGGGTTATTGTTCCCTCAAAGGTCTAGTACATAGATTTGAGTCTTATTGTTTACTCTTTCTGTATTGACTGCTGAGCAGTGGTAATGATCACATAAAGAGGCAGAAATACAGACCTCCATGGACACACTGCCTGATTGTATGCTGCAAATATTTTGGTCCTTTGTTTATTTGATTTCAGTTCAGAAAGCTTCAAGTTAGTTCCTTTTTGGTCTTTTCCGCTTTAGATGACATGTGAAAAAGTCCTTGATCTGATGTGCTACATGGTACTACCCATTCAAGATGGAGGCAAATCCCAGGAGGAACCCTCAAAAGTAAAGCCCAAATTCAGAAAAGGTACAGTGACATGTTTTATTATTATTCTGTAAAAATAGCTTTAGAAAGCCAGGCACGGTGGCTCACACTTGTAATCTCAGCTATTGAGAAGTTGAGGCGGGAGGACAGCTTGAGCCCAGGAATTTGAGACCAGCCTGGGCAGTGTAGTGAGACCCCATCTCTTAAAACATTTAAAAAGAGAAGTAAAATAGTCTTAGGACCCAAGGCTGAACAATGTTTCACGGTTCCTAATGAGATAATACTGCTGCAGGGCTTGCCAAATTGTATAAAAAGTTAATCCCTTTCCACGTTTTTCCTTGGCTCTGATTTCATGAGCAGCTGTAAATGTCTTTCTTCCAAAGCTCTCTTCACTTCCTGAGTTTGTTACCTCTTTGACAAATTTCAGTGAACTCTTTTTCCCTATCTTTACAATTCTAGAAAAATGTGTAGATGATTAATGAGGAGGTATCTGTCAGCACATCCCTCTGAAACCACTCTGAGCTTCAGCTCAAGCTTCACGTTGCTTGAAAAATGAAACGTACAACTGATCTAAGTTGCTTAGAAAAAGATTCATAAATTAAACCTGAAGAAAAAGTTGGAAAAAGATACATAAATTGAACCTGAAGAAAATAGATGACAGGAAAGAATAGTGCTAAGAGCAGAAATCAATGAAATAGAGAACATTAATAAAACTAGAAGTTTTCTTTGAAAAATATTATAAAACTGATAACCCCCTAACAAGATCGATCAGAAGGAAGGTGAACATAAATTACCAATATCAGAAATGAAAAAGGGAATGTCACTACAAATCCTACTGCAATCAAAAGGACAGTAAAAGAATACATTATGAAAAACTTTATGCCAATAAATTCAACAACTTGGATGAAATGAAAAAGTTTTTTAAACACAATTTACCAAAATTGACACAAAAAAGAAATAGAAAATCAGAATGTTCTGCCAGGAATGGTGGCTCATGCCTGTAATCCCAGCATTTTGGGAAGCCAAGGAGGGCAGATCATTTGAGTCTAGAAGTTCGAGACCAGTGTGGGCAACATGGTGAAACCCCATCTCTACTAAAAATATAAAAATTAGCCAGAGGTGGTGGTACACACCTGTAGTCTCAGCTACTCAGGAGGCTGAGGTAGGAGAAGCATTTGAACCTGAGAGGCAGAGGTTGCAATGAGCCGAAATCACACCACTGCACTCTAGCCTGGGCAACACAACCAGACTCTGGAAGGAAAAAAAAAAAAAAAAAAAGAAAGAAAGAAAGAAAAATCAGAATGTTCCCTTAGCTATTAAAGAAATTAAATTTGTTATCAAAAACCTTCCACAAAGAATTCAGGTTCAAATGGCTTCACTGGTGAATTCTATCAAGAATTTCGGAAGAAATAGTGCCAATTCTACACAGACTCTTATCAGAAAATAGAGGAAGAGTCCCAATTCATTTTTAAAGGCTGACACAGTAACCCTGATAGTAAAACCAAACAAGAGTATCACAAGAGAAGAACTTGAAAGGCCAGAATCCATCATGAACTATAATAGGTGTCAAATCATTAACAAAATACTAGCAAACTGAATACAGCAATATAGAAGGACAATCTATTATGACCAAGTATACTAGGAATGCATAGGCATTTGAACATACAGAAATCAGCGGCCGGGCGCGGTGGCACATGCCTGTAATCACAGCACGTTGGGAGGCCGAGGTGGGAGGATCACGAGGTCAGGAGATCAAGACCATCCTGGCTAATGTGGTGGAACCCCATCTCTACTAAGAAATACAAAAAAGTAGACGGGCATGGTGGCAGGCGCCTGTAATCCCAGCTACTCTGGGGGCTGAGGCATGGGAATCGCTTGAATCTGGGAGGTGAAGGTTGCAGTGAGCTGAGATTGCACCACTATACTCCAGCCTGGGCTACAGAGCGAGACTGTCTTAAAAAAAAACAAAAACAAACAAACAAACAAATCAGTGTAATTCACTCCATTGGCAGATAGAAGGAGAAAATCATGACTGTGTTAATAGATGCATACAGAATTCAGTATCAGTTCAGGATAACAAAAATCTTAGCAAACTAGGAATAGAAGGAAACTATTTTTTAACATCAAACTTAACCATGAAATATTGAATGCTTTCCCCCACTAAGATTAGAAACAATACAAGGATGTCTACCCTCACCACTTCTGTTCAATAATCTGGAGATTCTAAGCAGTACAGCAGGCAGGAAAAGTGAATAAAGGCATAAAGATTTGACAAATACGACTACCTTTATTCACAGTTACATATTTTGGCCAGGCATGGTGGCTGATGCCTGTAATCCCAGCACTTTAAGAGGCTGAGGCAGGAGGATTGCTTGAGCCCAGGAGCCCAAACCAGCGTGGGCAACAAAGTGAGATCCCATCTCTACAAAACATTTAAAAATCAGCCAGACTTAGTGGTGTGAACCTGTAGTTCCAGCTACTCTAGAGGCTGAGGCAGGAGGATCGCTTGAGCTCAGGAGGTCAAGGCTGTGGTGAGCTATGATTGCGTCACTGCACTCCAGCCTGGGCGACAGAAAGATTTCCCTGCCTCAAAAAACAAAAACAAAAAAACTAACATAGTTACATATTTGGCTGTGTAGAAAACTTGAGGGAATCTCCACAAATTCCCAAGGCTGGGCACAGTGGCTCACGCCTCTAATCCCAACACTTTGGGAGGCCGAGGCAGGTGGACCACTTGAGGCTAGGAGTTTGAGATAAGCCTGGCCAACATGGTGAAACCCCATTTCTACTAAAAACACAAAAATAAGCCAGGTGTAGTGGCACACGCCTTTAATCCCAGTTACTCAGGAGGTTGAGGTGGGAGAATCACTTGAATCTGGGAGGCGGAGGTTTCAGTGAGCCAAGATTACACCACTGCGCTCCAGCCTAGGCGACAGAGTGAGAGCCTGTCTCAAAAAAAATAAAAGTTCCAAGACATTTTAGTGTATAAAAAATCAATTCAATTTGTATGCTATTAATAAGCAATTACCAAATGAATTTTTTAAGATACTGTTTCTAATAGCATCATAAAAACATAAAATACTTAGAGGTAAATTTAATGGAAGATATGCAAAACCTCCACTTTGAATATCACAAAATATTTCTGAGAAAAATTAAAGATTTTTGAAAATGGACAGATCATGTTTCTAGATCAGAAGATTCAATATTATTATGGTGCCATTTCTCCCCAAATGTATCTGTAGATTCAATGCAATTTCAACCAAAATTACGGTAGACTTTATGGTTTTTGGAGGTTTTTTTGCTAGAAGTTCACAAAGTGATTCTAAAATGTAAGTGGAAATATTATATAATCTAGAATAGTCAAAAGTTTTAAAAAAGACACAACTAAGTGACTTATACTACATAATAACAAGACTTAATATACAAGCATAATAATCAAGGCAGAGTTGACAAAATATTGACATAAGAATGGAGAATCCAGAAATAGACCTGCATAGATTTGATCAAATGATTTTCAATGAAGGCATCAAAGTAATTCAATAGGGAAAGGAAAGACTTTTCAACCAGTGGTGCTGGAGCAGATTACTTTGTGTATGTTTGAAGTTTTCTACAACAAATTGTTTAAAAAAAAAAATCTAGCCCAGACTTCTTCAAAAATTAAGTATTTCTGCAGAACAGAAAGTTTCTGGTTGAAACTCATGACCCTGTAGATGAAGACTCACAGCTTGAGAAACACTAAGGTGTACAACTAGGAGGCAAGGTATATAATTAGGTAACAACATGTTCAACTTGGTAATGCTAAGTTAGTTTCCAGAGTGGTTGCATGACTTTATATACCTTCCAGAAACTGATTAGGTGGATAAGACTGACCTAGCTGACTTCAAGACTTATTTTAAAGCTTTAGTAATTAAGATAGGGTAGCAATGACACAGGGGTTGACCAGTGGAACAGCATAGAAAACTGAGAAATAGATGACATTAAAATTCAGTGAGGGAAGAATGAATTTATTCAGTAAGTGGTACTAGAGCAATTTTTTATTCAAATGTAAAAAACGACAATAAAAAATTGAGATCCCCTCCTTCACACTACATAGACATCCTGTAAATTTTAAGGTTGAAATGTGACAGCAAAAACTCCAAAACTTCTAAACTTTTAGAAGAAAATTTAAAAATAGAAAGATTAGTAAATTTGATCACATTAAAATTAAAATACTAATAAAGGCTATTACAATCAAAGTGAAAAGATAAGCCACAGATTGCCAGAAAATTGTCTATCACACAAAATCAACAAAAACTTAGTATCCAGGGTTTTGAAAGAGCTCCTCCAGACCAATAGGAAGCAATTATCCAATCCCCATAGAAAAACAGGCAAAGGACAGGAACAACAGATTCAGAGGAGCAGAAATCCACATGGCCAAAAACTATTTGGAAAGATTCTCAGCCTTTTGTCATATGGGCAATTCTGAATAAAACAATAAGCTACCATTTCACACACATCAGAATGCAAAAACTGAAGAGGCAATGACTGTTAGGATGTGAAGGAACACAGTCCCATGTGCTTCTGGAAGGGGTGTAAAGTCATGCAACCATTCTGGAAACCAACTTCACATAACCAAGTTGAACATGTCATTACCTAATTATTAAATGTACCTCACCTCCTAGTTGTATACCTTAGATTAGTGTTTTTTAAGCTATGAGTCTTCATTTACTGGGTCATGAGTTTCAACTAGAAATTTTCTTTTTTAATGAGATAGAATTTAATAATATTTTAAAAAGACATCTCAGATAAGAAGAGAGACTATTATTTCATGCACCTTTTGTTTTGGATATATCACATTATGTAAGTATGTGTGTAAAGGATCCCATGTGAAAAAATATATTTATTTCTTGCTATCTTGCCTCTGAGCAGAGAAAGATAACAGACATACAGAACACAGACCAAAAAGGGAAGATCGGGATCTTGCTTTGAAAGCTGTTGCTTAAAGTTATTTCCACAAATGTATGAGAATATGTAAGAATGTATATTTATCATTGGAATAGTGAAAAATTGGAAATGTCAATATCCACTGTAAAAAGAATGGATGCATCAATTACGGCATATGTAGACAACAGAATACTATATAACACTGAAAACGAATGAACTGGAGCTACATGTATTGATATTGATCAGTTAATAAACCTGAACCACATGAAGTTCAGTAAAAAAGCAATTTGCAGAAGGATACATACAAAATGACACCATTTATACAGTAGACCGAAAGCACGCAGAACAATCCATTGTTGCCTATGTGTGTAACAGTCATAGGAATGACAACCACTGCCTTCAGAAGTATGGCTACCTCTGGGATGGAAGAGAATGGGATCAGAGAAGGATACACAATAGGCTTTAACTGATTTTGTGATTATTGATATTAGAAATGTTTAAAATTAAAATACTAACATTTCTTGAAGCTGAGTGGTGAGCACACCAGTGTTTATCATATTCTCTGTATATAATTTGCTGTGTATTTGAAATGTTTTCTCATAAAAAGTATTTAAGCAAGTTTAGGAAAGAATATTGATAAATGAAATCTAGAGACCATCAAAAGCCAGTTTCACCATCACAAAGTATAATTGTGTTTCAACTATATTTGAAATCGTGTGACTGTTGCATATTCTTTGTTTTTTTTTTTATTATTTAAAGAAAGCATCTTAAACAGTTGCTTTTCAAAGCTGTTTTCTCTGATCATAATGTGCATTAACCTAACATTGTGGACTTCTGTTAGGTTCGGATCTCAAGCTCCTGCCATGTACCAGCAAGGCTATCATGCCATACTGCCTGCATTTAATGTTAGCCTGTTTTAAGGTAAGCTCAAAGTTGATTAGCTTGAAAAAAATTTAATTTCAAATATTATTCTCATGACTTGAGAACTTGAGAACCTTGTTAAGGATTGTTATTTTAGTACTTTCCAGAGCGGCCCAAACAGTTAGAAAAGCACATGGGCTAGTAATTAACAAATCTTTATTAAATAATGACTGCGCTAGGCAAAGAGAAGTCAGAAGTTCTCCCCGTCCTCGAAAAGTGTAATAGTAGGACAGATATGCAAATAACCTTGACTGTTGTAGTGTTTGGTAAATATTTTATCAATATAAATACATTAGCTACAAAGAAAGGGAATACAAATTGCGGTTGGGTTCACGGAGGGATAATGAGTTTGTCATTGTAAAGATGTGCTAGATGAAGCATGTTAGGCGTAGAGACAAACACCAGTAACAGCCCAACAGTTGAGAAAGTTCCAGGACTTGAAAGAACACCAAGGCCCTTGGCTGCAGGTAGAGCCCAGCCTTAGAGCAGGGAGGCTTCGTTGTTTCTAGAAGGTTTGTCGGCCAGAGAGTAAAACACTGGCACTCCACTTCAGTGCAGTAACTCCCAAACTTAACTCATCATCCGTATCACTTAGGGCAACAAAAATAATTTAAAGTGTGATTTTATGCATAACCGCTCATTTGAAACAAAAACTCTTGTGACCATTTCTCTAGCTCACACTTCTGCTTATTTCCTTGTGGCTCATCGCCTTTCCTTCTCCCCAATCCCATGTTCTCTGCAAACAGTTCTCTCCTAGATGGCCTCTTGCCCACCTTCTGCTCCCATCTGCTCCCCTTCAAAGAAATCTCCAGATTTATTTCTCCGTTACACAGGATCAGTCAAAGTTCTCTACCCCTGATTCCCATATGCAAAAGCTTCAGGCCCACCTATGTCCGACTCCCACCTACACAAACTGCCAGCAGCTGTGCACAGCCCAGAGGGAGCCTGAGGCTTCTTTGGTTAGAATCCACTTTCCTTAGAAGGCCGCTGTGATGTTTACCAGCCATTTCGTTTTGCCTTTGTTTCCTTCTTACTCTAATGACCTTTATCACACATTTGCATAGACAGCATGTTTTTGGAAAGTGATGTTTGGTGTATTTCAGATTATCCTGTGACTTCCCTTTCCTTCTCTCTTGTCTAAATCTTTGTCTTGCAGCTCAGAGCTTTCACAGACAACAGAGACGACATGGCATTGGGGCATGTGATTGTGTTGCTTCAGCAAGAGTGGCCACGGGGCGAGAATCTTTTCCTGAAAGCTGTCAATAAAATTTGCCAACAAGGAAATTTCCAATACGAGAATTTTTTCAATTACGTTACAAGTATCCTTTTTTTCTTGTTTAAGCATAACACGTTCTGATTTTCTGTAGAATGAATACATGATACAAAAAGAATGAACCATTCTGGATAGAAATAATGATTTTTACTATTTTGCAGCGAAGAGAAGGAATGGGGATTAAAACCGGGGCTGTGGCAGTTGATCTTGTGAAAGTCGTAAAAGACGTGATTCAAGGAATTGGGAATCTTACCGCCCTCTTCCATTTTCCACTGCTAGCTGACTTCTCAGAAGGTAGCCAAAATGCCTCCAGTAATAGCCTACAGGTTGCTGATAGGTCCGGCTTGCCTGGTTTAGCCATGGAATATAATACTAATAGTTCCTCTTCTTCCATCTATCAAAAGAATGCCTCCTGTGGCCTCTGGGGACAGTGGCTGTGCCCTCTGATCACTTGTTAGGGCACCCTGCCATAACTATCTTACCTACCAATGAGTACCCACCGGAGATGCTGCACAGCACAGTAGCTGCTTCTGACATTAGGTAATGCTTTTATTTCACACTGTTTATTAGGGAAAGATCTTTGAATTAAAGGTTAGTTATCAATTTGAGTGTTTTTACTTCATTGCTTATCTTGTTACATTATTTCTGAATCACTAGGAATATAAATGATATTCTTGTTCAGGTGCTCAGGGCAATAGTTTTTATTTTTATTTTGTTTTTTTAGAGTCAGGGTCTTGCTGTGTCACCTAGGCCGGGGTGTAGTGGTGCGATCGTAGCTCACTGCAGTCTCAAACTCCTGGGCTCAAGAGACCCTCCTGCCTCAGCCTTCTGAGTAGCTAGGACTGCAGGTGTGCACTACCATGCCAGGCCAAAGTAACAGTTTTTAACCTTTTCTGGGACAGATATCTTTTGAGAATCTGATGAAAATTACATAATTAGAAAATTACATAATTAGAACATAACTAGAAAAATGCATACATGAATGTCATTGACATACTGCATAAAATTTGGGTGACTCACAGAAGCTTCCTCCTCTGATGCATCTAAAGATCCTTGCACCCCAGCTATGAAGAAGTCATCACTTTATTTTTATGAATTTTATGTTCTGTAACACCAAACAATCCTCCCTACTCTCACCACCTCTTTCATTTCTTATTAAGAAAACAAAAAGATTTCGCTCTTGTGATCATGTAGTATTAATTATCATGGATATGGAGAACATGTTGCCCTCATGCTCTTTAGCCTGGCACATCTCCTGCCAAGAGTTATCTGTGCGAGGGAGCTTGGTGGGTATAAGAATGAGGTTTTGGAATCAGACAGATCTGGGGTCAAATACAGAGTCTGCAGTTAGTGAGGTGGCAATGGGCACGTTACTCAACTGCCGAGACCCCATTTCCTCATCAGAGAGAACTGGCACCTGTTTTTACCTGTGGTTAACCTGAATCTGGCCTGCAGATATTGATATGCTGGAGGAATTTGCCTACTTGAGAACTCAGGAAGGTGGGAAAATTCATCTGGAATTACTGCCCAATCAAGGAATGCTGATCAAGTAAGCATGCTCTCTTTTGCTCTTCCATGCTCAGTGCTCACCTTTTGTGTCTTTGTATGAAGTATTTGTAAATGTCTATACCTATCAAAACTTTAATACAAAGGACTTTGAACCTGGTCTCTGTTTTGACAGTCAGTTTGATTCTGGGTTATCTTTTGAAAAAGCTGCATTTCCTTAACTACATTTCTTAAAACACTTTGCTTAAATTGGGGTATTTTTGTCACATTTGCAACTTTTTCACTGGACAAAAGTCTCATTCATGGTATCTTTTCCTTTCAAATATTTATAGGGTGATTCTATAAGTTTCTGATTAGTCACAGAGTGGCTTTAATTAAGAACAGCTGTGTGGCCAGGTGTGGTGGCTCACACCTGTAATCTCAGCACTTTTGGAGGCCAAGGCGGGCAGATCACCTAAGACCAGGAGTTCAGGACCAGCCTGGCCAACATAGTGAAACCCTGTCTCTACTAAAAATAAAAAAAAAAAAAAAAAAAATTATCCGGGTGTGGCGGTGGGCGCCTATAATCCCAGCTACTTGGGAGGCTGAGGCAGGAGAACTGCTTGAACTCAGGGGGCGGAGGCTGCAGTGAGCCAAGGTCGTGCCATTGCACTCCAGCCTGGGCGACAAGAGCGAAACTCTATCTCAAAAAAAAAAAAAAAAACAGCTGTGCTTAATTAAAATTGTGCTGGGTTAGAAAAATTCTTTAGGAAAAACTACAGACTTTTTATTTATAAACGACCTATGAAGCCCTCCTATGCAATCCTCATTACTTACACAACACAAAGTATTAATAGCCAGGTGTAGTCCCTCTAAGAACACATCTGTCCCAAGAAATGATGGTGGGAGTGGTTGGTCTCCACCATACTCCCCCGAACCCACAAGATGTTACTAAAATTCCAGGTTGGCCCAGATGAAAATGCCAAATTAGTGACCATTTATGATTTTTAAATAGCTCATAAATCTTGCTTCTCTCCTTCAATCCTCATTGTAGTTTCGGTAATATATCCTCTCTGCTGTAAATGCCACGTGTAGTTTTATTTTCATACTTCCTCCTTTGCTTCCTGCACATTCAGTGTGTCTGTAAGTCAGTGTTAGAATTTCTGCAAGAGACTGAATCCTGAATGAGAAGAAAGTACTGCTGAAACTAAAAACATTTTTCTTTTTCCCTCAATGATGGAATAAACTAGTTTTCAGTTGTTGAAAGCAAAACTCCACATCTTGTTCTATCTTGATAGTCTTAGAAATGCCGAGGGAAAGAAGTAAGAAATGTTCCTTTGAGATTTCTGTAACCTCAGTAATTTGCTGTATAGCAAACATTTCTTTTTATGTGTAGCAAGAATAGGGTCTTGTGGAATCCATTCTCAAGAATGGAAAGATTAAGTGTTTTTTTCCCCCTTCATGTTATAAGTGTTATTAAATTATAAACTTTTAGAATAAAAGGACAATGCTCTTTTTAAAAATATACAAGACCTTTCTGCATTGGGTTGCTTAAGCAGGATGGACAAGGACTGGCATCTTCCCATCCCCATTTACTTTTCTAAGATCATGAATCGAAACTATGGGAAGAATAACTCTGTTGTTCAAAATATTCTTAACAGTGTTTGGGGATAAAGATTACCTTTGGATACGGAAGCCCAGGTAACCCCTTTTGTATTGTGATTTGTTTTCTAGACTTTGACACTGGATATACAAATACAGCCCGAATCAAGCTTTTTAGTTAATTCCCATCAGCAGTCACCATACGAGTTAATAGAGAGACAGCCAGAGTGGAACCGAAGTCTGTGTACATAGGATTAAACCTACGGATGATTATCACTGTACCTAGATAATGCGTAACTATTAGTGCAGGTGTGAGAGACGGATTGTCAAAAAATCAACAGTTGAACCTCAGACTTCATTGTACTGAACCTTTCTTCTTTTACCAGTTTTTACTGAGCTGAAGAGTGACATAAGTCCATGTGGACAAACCCTAGGATGAGGAATGAGCGCAAGGGAGTGTTGGGTACCAGCTAGTATCACAGGGAAGAGTGTTTGGAGGTGTTTGTGTAAAGGATACCCATCATGCACTTCTAACTAGTGAGGGATAACTCTAGGCTCTGCCACCTTGATCAATATGACCGTTAATTTCTTGTAACTTTCTAGAGAAGACAAGCCTCTTAGGAAGGCTGCAGTTTCATCAGTTTGGAAGCAGGAATAGGGATTATTCCATAGTGATCTGACCTTGTAGGGATTTGCCCAGAGTCTTCACTGTGTGAATCTCAAGGTTAATTACTTATGCCTAAATTAACATGGTAGAAAGCACACTGCTTAAGGCAGAGAGCTCTTCCTCACTGAGGAATGGTTGGACTCTTCATTAAACAATCTCAATTCCTTTTCCCTTTGGGTTCCAAACAAGTTCTCTGAAGCCATTACAGACCTTTTGGGTGGTCCCTCCAGACGAGTGGCAGAGATGTTGTGAGCAGTGTACACTTCTCCCCGGGGGTAAGGCTGTGAGTCTGCCCTAGCTGTGGCATCTGGGATGCAAGCAGGTACAGTACCAACACTGAAGGCACCCGGTGCTTCACTCGAAGGAGGGAGAAGCTCTTACTCTGTTATACAGACCTTTTGCTCTTAAGTATTTTAAAATAGAGAAATGTTTCTGTGCTGATAAATGCAGTATCCTAGTTGTATTAGAGTGGATTAAAATGGAAAACAATGTCCTACTTATACTCTGAATAGGGTGGATAATAATGTTCTATGAGGTGATCACCAGCTAATATACTAAATCTTTGTTGTTACAGAATTCTGCACAGCCATGGGTCCCGGACTCTTATTTTCCCCCATCTGTTCTCAATATGTTTTTGAAATTCAAACTCACCCTTTTTTTTTTTTTAATCAAAAACATTGCCAGACCATTTAGTCCTCTTGGAAGGGCCTCTCCGGTGGGGCTTCAATCCTGTTAAAGATGGTTACCAGACATCACCAGGTTGAATGCTGGGACTGGTGTACCGTGAGAAGAGTGGAAAGTAAAGAGGCTGGCTTTGAAAATGTGTCTTCTCAAAGGCTGCCCCTACTCCCTGTTGCCATTCAGCTGCATTCCATCGTCCTCTTCCTCACTGGTCGCTTTTTATACCACCTCCAAAGGGGGCTGAGCTCTGGGACCAGGAACTGAGACGCCTCTGGACACGCACCAGCAGCAGCGGGTGCAGTGAGGGCTGGCTAGCTTCTCCCCAGTCTCCTTAAACACCCAACCACGGCCAGGGGCTTGTTGAGGTTAACGAGTTTCTGTTTAGTCTGCTTCCAGTCTTGTGTATTTTCTCTGGAGTGTTGTTTTTGCAGTGCAGGGTGAGTCGGTGTGGGTGTTTGAATGCTGCTGTTTGCTGTTTTTTAAAGGCCTTCTAGCCCTCCCATGGGGTTGCTGCAGCAGGAATTCTTACCTGTGCTTCAGCCCAGCATACAGACTGCTGACAGGTACCAAGTGGAATAAACGCCCGCTCATAGTGTGCTGTTTGTCAACATGTTCACTGCCCATGGTTCTCAGCTCTTTGTTCCTCAGTGCTCTTTTTCATGCTTTCTTTATTTTTTAATTTGTTCTGCATTTTGGCAAACCATCTGGTTGTAATATTGTAACATTTCTTATTTTTTTCCATGAGTTGCCAGTGTGTTTGTGTTCGATTTAAAAATCATTATGGATCTAGAAAAAAAATGAAAGCTATTTGAAACTGTATTCAATTACGTGCACATTAGCTTAGGTGCACTATGATTCTCTTTTGATGAAACGTTAAGGCTTTTGGTCATATACATTTAAGGATGCTGACATTTATTTTAAGTACATTTTTACTTGTGGATATTCATACGAGTGACCAGTCGTAATGGTCATATTAGCAATTAGTTGCCTGGTATCTAAATAGGCACTAATATGGTTTTTTTCCTGCTACTGATGTTTTTTGAGAGCTTACCTTTCTGAATTGAAAATATTTGATAGGCTAAAATGCCACATTTATTAGCTGGTTTATCCTATTCTTAAACCACAAAAGCTTACTCATTCTCTTTTTCATCATAGTGGCTCTAATAGAAATATAATTGAATTGTGCCACTCTTTATATATGGAGATAATACAACTGGACCCTGATTGGCAGAATGTAGCATTTAGTTATATTTTTAGTGGTATTAAAAGCAGGGTTTATTAGCCAGGCCTGGTGGCATGTGCCTGTAATCCCAGCTGCTCGGGAGGCTGAGGCACAAGAATTGCTTGAACCCAGGAGGCAGAGGTTGCAGTGAGCTGAGATCATGCCACTACACTTCAGCCTGGGTGACAGAGCAAGACGCCATCTAAAAAAAGAAAAAAAAAAGGAGGGTTTCCCCTTTAGCTAACTGTCTGCAAATGCCAGTAACTTCCACATGGTCAGAGGGTCAGCCCCGATTTGAGGCTGCAGCCTGGGACCCAGACGAGCAGTATCTCAGGGCAGCATAAAATGGTTTGCATCTATCCCAGTGGGACCTCACTGACGCTATGTCCTAACTACTGAGCTACCCACCCAGACCTGACGAGAGACAGTCACAAAGAACTGCGCATTAACCCCACGGCCCTGCTGTTTTCCTCTGTAGATCTTTAAAACATCCACGGGCATTAGAAGGTTCTGTAATAGCTTTACTTATCTAACAAAGCTGGATTTTTTTTTTTCATCTGTCGTTTTACAACTTGGTGACTCCTGTTGTCCATATTTGATATGATAATTAATACAAGTTTTTCAAAACGGAAACATTTTAGAGTAATTTCAACACTTTTATCTTGCCCAGAACATAAAAAGTCTTCAGTTTCAATCCTTATAACTTTGTGTGAGGGAAATTAGCAGCAGGGTGGGAAACAGAGGTGACTTTTATTTGTCTGAGTCTACCAAATTGCTGAACTAGTAGGTACAACTCCCTTCCTCTTAACTGAGCTGACTGATTTTTGCTAGATTTTTCTTTTCCTTTCTTCATTTTGTTTCTTCTGTTTCCTGGGATTTCATGTGTGATTTCTTTTTCTAAAGCACAACTTTTGGGGCGTAGTTAGAGACCTTTTTTGCCTGTGTCCCCACCACCCCTTCCACACATGTGCAGGTCTCCCCTGAGCGCCCGGACAGCATAGGACCACACAGTCCACTGCCTCTGCCCCTCAGAGATTCTGCCTCTCTCTCCCGACCTGTGCCACATTCTCGTGTCAGGACCCCAGTTCCCCCTGCGTTTTCTCCAACATATGAGGGTCTAGATGGGCACGGCATTTAGAGGAGCTGCCCTGTTCTGGCGTCCTGGGGAGAGAGATGTGCTCGTGACCCGGCTATGCAGGAGCCCTGAACCTTTCTGGGAGCACCAGCTGCGGGGGCCACGGTGGGAGCTCACTTGGGTGATTGGCTCATTCAGGTCTCCCTCCTCCTTGCTGCTGCCTCTGGAGGGTCTGCTGGCCTGGCTGGACACGAGTTCTTTGTAGCCAGTATGGACTGGACCCATTTGGCCCTAAGTAACTGAATTGTGTACCAGTCAGCAGTAGGGATGCAGAACATCAGAGTTTCATTGATTCAAAGGCAAAGCAGGTGGCATTTCACTGAACAGTTAAATGTTTGAAATAACCTTTTATAGAGTGGGAAAGATGTCTGTCTAGTTTTAAGTCTTTCTGAAAAGGAATGGGCTGGAATGTTTGGTTGGTTGCAGCTATTCTTGTGTTCTTTTTAAAATATCTTAACTTATACTTAGATATGGGGCAGGCTCTATTCCTACCCAAGTAGCAGCGATCAGTGATGCCGGTGCTAACCCCTGGTCTCTGTCTGTTTCCCTATTGCTGACCTCAGGCACCACACGGTAACTCGAGGCATCACCAAAGGCGTGAAGGAGGACTTTCGCCTGGCCATGGAGCGCCAGGTCTCCCGCTGTGGAGAGAATCTGATGGTGGTTCTGCACAGATTCTGCATTAACGAGAAGATCTTGCTCCTTCAGACTCTGACCTGAGTGGAGACCTGTCCACCAGACACAGCTCGGGACTGTGTAATTTTAGGAGAAGATACCCAGCAGTGATTGACGTGGCACGCAGCCGCGGTCACTGTTGCTGTTACAAAGAAGAAAACCAGCTGAGTTCTAACTCCTTGGTTGCTTAAAAGTAGTTCCCAAGAGTCTGAGAAGCTATCTCTATTTTTAAGAGTCATTTTTTGTAATTTTGTAAAACAAAGATCCAATCTGTTTTGTAAATAAAAATCATCCTAAAATTTGAAGTTTTTAAACATTTCTTTTGATTCTTATGAGTTTTTGAACAGGGGTGCATTTTTCTTCTTTTCTAAGCATATAGCAAGGGGGAAAATCCAGCATAATTGAAGTGAGTAATGAATTTTACTAATACAGATACTTAAAAGACATATGTCTTCCATGATCTTAAGATTTTATTTTTCATAGTTAGGCTTTGGTCAGTATTACATGTCAACATAATATTAGACGTTTTCATTCAGGTAGTCTGTTTTTTAGAAACAAGGTCTCACTCTACACCCAGGTTAGAGTGCAGTGGCACGATCCTCACTCACTGCAGCCTCAAACTCCTGGCCTCAAGCAATCCTCCTGCCTCAGCCTCCCAAGTAGCTGGGACTACAAGCATACACCACCATGCCCAGCCATTTGTTTTTAATTTTATGTGGAGACAGGGTCTCACCATGTTACCCAGGCTGGTCTCAAACATCTGGCCTCCAGCAATCCTCCCACCTCAGCCTCCGAAAGTGTTGGGACAACAGGCATGAACCACCATACCTAGCCTCATTCGGGAAGTTTTAACACCAAAAACATTTATGTAAAAATGAACTTGAGCCTGACCTCTCCCCACTGACAGTCCCCTGAAGGAGAGGTGCTCAGGGCTGCTGAAAAAGCCCAGGACAGGAAGTGGAGGTGAGAGGCGAGGTGGGCTGAGCAGCCTCCCCACCGCTCTTTGGCCCCAGGAAAGCCCTGCTGCTGTGCCAGGGTGGCCCACTGGTTTCTACCCAGGGGTTTTGGAGCCAGGTGGCCTTGTGTGGCTTTGCATCCTGGCTTTGCCCTGCCCTTTACTTGCTATGTGACCGTGGACAAGGTAACTTCTGTATGCGTCAAGCTCTTTGTCTGAAAACGGAGCTGAATGGTCCTTCCCTCGCTGGTTGTTGGGAGGATGAAATGTTGCTCCCTGTGAAATGCTTCGGAGGGGGCCTTGAGTGTAGTTAGTGCTGGCCAATATTAGCTATTAGGCTAGATTTTCTTTTTAGTTAGACTAATTTTATTTTCCTTTTGCTCTTCATGAAATAATATAGCAAACGTCAATAAAATGTGTTTCAAGGGAGTATTTAAGAATGAAAGAGCTAAGAAGTTTCGCAGTTACTCTGTAAAAGGTCTTAGAAATCTTTTCTGAATAAAGATCCTTTTTATAGCTATATTAAAATCAGTAAGATGTTTAAGAGACATCTGATCTCAAAAATATCAACTAGCTTGTTTTGCGGTGTTTATTAGTGTAGTATGAGTTTATTACAGATATATAAGCAATCCTTTTTTTAATCATGGGATGTGCTGTCACCTAAAACCTCCCAAATTAAACACTCTCACCTTTTGGTTTTCTACCACTGTATTAGGGTTCTCCAGAGGGACAGAACTATTGGATAGATGTGTATATGAAAGGGAGTTTGTTAAGGAGAATTAGCTCACATGATCAGAAGGTGACGCTCCACAGCAGGCCGTCTGCAGGCCGAGGAAGAAGGAAGCCCGCAGTGGCTCAGTCCAAGTCCAAGAGCCTCAAAAGCGGGGAGGCCAACAGTGCAGCCTTCCGTCTGTGACCGAAGACCCGACAGCCCATGACCAACCACTGGTGTGAGTCCAACAGTCCAAAGGCCAGACAACCTGGAGTCTGACGTCCAAAGGCAGGAAGCGTCCCGCACAGGAGAAAGAGGAACAGAAGACTCAGCAAGCCAGCTTAACCCACCTTCCGCCTACTTTGTTCTAGCCTCGCTGGTGCCTACCCAGCTTGAGGGTGGGTCTTTCTCTCCCGATCCACTGACTCAGATGTTAATCTCCTCTGGCAACAGCCTCACAGACACACCCAGAAACACCACCAGCTATCTAGGCATCCTTCAACGCAACCAAGTTGACACCTAATATTAACCATCACGAACAGCTTCCTCAGCTCAGTGTTTGGGGGCAGTGCACATCACAACAAGACTTTCCGATACTAGCTATAAAAGGATTAACCATCTTTTTAAAAATGCAGTGGTGCCACTTCTCTGTGAAGAGGCTGTAGAGAAAGGGTCACAGAATAAAATGGAAACTCAGACTGAGTTTGCAGAAGAGGAAGGAGCTGGCAGAAAACTGCAGACCTCTTGGCACATAATGGCTCCATCCAAATCACTGCACTAACAGACCTGACCAAACTCTAGCTTGGCTACCAGCAGCTTAAGGTCATGACCCCAGTCCCGCTTAAAACGCCTGCCTGAGAAAGCCCCATGCCACCAAAATTCATTCCAGACCAAACCAGGTGATAGGCAGATAGGCCCCCCCTCCCCGGACTCTCTCTCAGAATAGTTACTTTAGAAAGGTTGCAATTATACATTCTTTGCCCTTTGAGATGCAAAGCAACCACCCAGAGCTGTTTTCTCAAGAACCCAAGAGCCGGCTTTTTGAAATCCATTCAGGGAGACAACTCTTGCTCCCAGTCCCTGTGGGAGGGAACATTTGAGCTGGGTTTACACCACGGGAACATTTAGACTCCTACAGGAGATGTACTGTTGTCATGGCAATCCTGCTCCCTGACAAAGGAACTGCAGGCTCAGGCTTTTGGTGTCTGCTTGTCTGAGTAACCAATGGGGCAAAGTTACCATCGGGGTGACCTTAAGGCAGGCAGAAGATAGAGCGGTACATAGGAGGCGTGACTGACCTTGGATATCTCGTCCCAGACATTCCCCTCCCAGGGCAGCGCGGCGCACCCTGCGTGCACGGCATCCTCCTCCTGCGCTTAGGTCCATCTGCGTATAGAGTCCCTACTGGGAAAAGGGGCACTGCCAGAAAGAGGCACCCGCCCCTCGCTCGTCAGCAAACGCAGGTTCCTGGGGAAACTGATGCTAGTTTGTAAAGGACCCACCTCTGGGTTTCCTAAGCAGCAGAACAGCTCCCTGGCTGCAATCCATTGAAAGTCAGTCCTGGACAGCGGGGTTTGTCCACCCACATGGAGGCTCCAAGCATCTATGCATCTATCCCTCTCAATCCCCAGGACTTCGGACCCAGAGCCACACTGTGGGGCGGCAGTGATCAGGTAGCCTCCTGGCAACCCAACTCAATGCGCTGCCTCCTCGTCACCCTGCCAGGATGCACCCTGGGCTAGGACAAAGTTGGGGAGTGGTGAGGACAGCGGAGATGGATGGATAGCACCTGCATCCTCAGGGTTGACCAGCAGTCTGCCAGGCTCGGTCTCTCTCCTGTAGCCCATCCACCCCCAAAGACTTACATCGACAGGCCCCTGCCTGCCTTAGGCCAGGGGTCCCCATTAGACTCTAGCCGAGGGACAGCCCAATGAGACAGTGGACTAGCTCAAGGCCTCGAGCTGCTGGGTCGACCAGTTGTCCAGCTCCCGCCTTAGACGAGAGGCCAGGGCCAACCTAGGTAGGGGCCCACGGGGATCCAGACTGGCAGCGGGGACAAAGCAGAGAATCATTCCTCAGGTGGGGTGGGGCCCAAGGTTTATGGGAAAAATGTTATTGTTATAGAAATATTTATCTGTAAATATGAAATCACATAAACTATAATACAGTCTTCTGTAACATGAAATATAAATTGTAGAGGTTATAAATGATAAGTTAATGTGAAAAACAAATAAACATGTGAACAGTTATTTTTATTTTTTTAGAGACAGGGTCTTGCTCCGTCGCCCAGAGTAACAGTCACCCTGGAGTGCAGTGGCGCGACCATGGCTCACCGCAGCCTCCTGTCCTTAAGCGATCCTCCTGCCTCAGCTTCTGAGTAGCTGGGACCATTGGCACATGCCATCATGGCCGACTAATTTTAAAATTTTTTATAGCGATGGGGTTTCACCATGTTGCCCAGGCTGGTCTCGAACTCCTGGACTCAAGAGAACTGGCCACCTCCGCCTCTCAAAGTGCTAGGATTACAGGCGTGAGCCACTACACCAGGCCTGAAGTTATTTTTTTCACTGTCACTCATCATGATTGTAACTATCTCTGTTATTATGATTATTTGTTGTCGAAGCTACAGCAATAAACATGCTGAGTACAGCTCTCTGTCCACAAAGGGGTCCCACCCATGGGAGGCAATGGAGGAGGGGTCCAGGGCTCAGAATGTCCAACTTTGCAGAGCACCGCTGTCCCCCACCCACAGCTGACCCTGGCTCAGGGACCTCTGGAAAAGAAAATGTTGAGGCCCCCCTGGACTGTGGGGGTCGGCCCCCTCCAACCCAGCTCCAAGGTGGAGGCCAGGGCCACGCCGGGCAGTCTCCGCCAGCCCTGGGCCAAGAAACGCAACCTGAGGTGAGTAGAGCCGCGGCCGGGTGCCCCCACCACCTGCGATGGCTTCTGTGGACACAAGACTTTTGCATCCCTTGCCAGGAACAAGCTGGCGACTGCTTTTATGTAATCCATGAATGTCAACTAGATGGCCAGACCTGACCCTGGTAAAATAGGGGTGGGAATGGGCTGGGGCTGGTGCAAAAGGGCAGCTAGAGGGTTAACACTGAGATTCAGTCCTCGGATGCAGGGTGCAGGCTGGGATGTCAGGTGTGGGAGCAACTCATGAGGTTTATAGTAATGAGAATATTTTTTGTTATTTATAAATATAATTATAATTATTAATACATAATTATATAAGTATTATAAATAAATAACTATATTATATATAAACTATATATAAAATACAAAATATTTATCTTTAAATTATATAATACATATATATGTTATATAAATTTTGTTTTTGTTTTTGTCTTTGGGACAGGCTTGCTCTGTCACCCAGGCTGGAGTTCAGTGGCACAGTCTCGGCTCACTACAACCTCCGCCTCCCGGGTTCAAGTGATTCTCCTGTCTCAGCCTCCCAAGCAGCTGGGACCACAGGCACATGCTGCCAACACCCGGCTAATTTTTATATTTTTAGTAGAGGCAAGATTTTGCCATGTTGGCCAGGCTGGTATCAAACTCCTGACCTCAAGAGATCTGCCCGCCTCAGCCTCCTAAAGTGCTAGGGTTACAGGTATGAGCCACTGTGCCCAGCCCTG